CATATTTTTGAAGAGTTCAAAGATGAAGCTACAATTTAGAAACGTTTGCACATTCAGGATTTTGAGACCTAAGTAGCATTGTGAGCATGACATTGTGTTTAAACGTCGATATTTGAGGCATAATGGCATTATTGCAATTTTTGACATGTTTTGGAACTAATTTGTGATTTCACAATTTTTAATGGACTAAACTACAATTTTGGTAAATGTTTATATTTTTGTAGTAAAGAAATTTATAATTTGGTTTAATCTTAAGTTTGTTGGAGTTTATAATTAATGGGATGGTCAATGGTTTGGGTCGGTAAAAGACCGAGTCTCCATTTGACAAATATATAAATCAATTTATAAAAGAGGAATAGTAATGACTTCCAAGAATTATGTGGATAATAAAAAAAAAAAAAAGTTTCGAATATGTGGTTGAAATTATTATTTAATTTTAACTGAATTTATAAATCAAAATATAATTTGTTTCCAATTATTTTCCTTAATTTAAGCATATCTGATCCATAGAATTCAGTACACCTCTTAGCTCATGCCAGTACAAGGTCCATAGAGCTTAAATTTTGCTTAGCCCAATATGACCAAAGAAAAATGTGATTTTGCATTTATTAAAGTGATAAATACGCCAGTTACCTCCATCTATATTATATTAAATATTACATTAAATGAGAATCATTTTTTTGGATGATTCTAGTCTTATTATAGTTCGGTTATTTCAATAATACTTTACATTTTATTTTTGAATATTTATTTAATTTATATAACAATTTGATTACTATCAATATACATGTACATTTGACAGATGTGCTTTTATTAATGTATGGATTTTCAATTATTGATTCTCAATCAATTAATATTCACATTTATTTTTAATTAATATTTATTTTCATTTATACATTTTAGTGTTATGAATTCTAATTATAAACAGTGACGAATCGAGTAATTCGAGTGAGTTAGGGCAGCCGTTGACCGTCAATGATCGCAATAACGAGATTGTTCAATGACAACGTTTATTTTCAGTTGTGACTGTGATTAGCAATGTGTTTTATCCATATGTTAATATTATCTCCTCTCTGATCGACAACCTCAAGGGAAATTCTACAAAAAACCAATATTTTCTATCATTTACCATAACTTGTAAAGGAAAAAGTGGAATGATCCACAACACGGACTTCCTATCCACAAAACATTCAATTTGAGAATCAATTTCAAACCTAAATTGAGGAGAATCAAATTCGATAATAATTTCTACGCAAACATGGAAGATGCATAACAGATCTTTGATTTGCCATTGACTGGGAAAAATTGACAAGGGAACTATTTGTAATAGTAATTTAACCTTATTTGTCAAGACACAAAAATCATAGCCAAATAGTCAAATATCCATTGAATTGAGGGAAAAGATGTAATAGCTAAACACAAAAAATTGCCAAAAAAAATAATAAGAAAATCAGCAAACAGAAAGGAGGAGAAAAGAATTTACGTCACTAGACCTAAGTCCTACTAAACCTAACAACAAAAAGTGATAATCTAATGTCAAGGGCTTCCAAAGGTTTACTTAACACAACTTGCTATAGTGCTAACTAATCAAACTCTCCTACATCTCTTGTTTACTTCTGCTTATCCTCAAAGAACCTATAACAACTTATTCATCATTTTAAGTCACTTCTTCCCACATCATCCCAACATAGTATCATCCTCATCTTGTTCTTGGTGTTTTTTATTTTTATTTATTTTTTAAGATTGTCCACTATTTATTTTCCAATCATAACTCATAAATGATAAATGAAAAAAAAAAAGAACAAAAAGATCAAAAACCAAAAGAAAAAAGAGGACAAATAGGAAGCTCACGAGTCACGACACCGGAGAGTCACGGAGTCAGGGCGGCAATTTGTTATTTGATTGGTAATTGAATTGAGATTTGTTTTACGAACCATTAAACTTGCATATAGTGATTGGGCCTAATTTTTACTAAAAAAAAAAAAATGCCCAAAAGAAGAGAGATCCACAATTTTAAAAGAAAATGGCATAATCCACTTACTTGTCATCTTTGAAACTCTTCCAAGTTTCAACATCCTGTGCAACGCCGCTTCAATCTTCAAGTTTCGTTTTTGACCGGCGGCAACTGTAAATTTCGGATGAGCTAGCACGCACAACCACGCCTCCTCGTCGGGTGTTGGATCCTTCACTAATTATAAGTTAAATTAAAATTTCACATTCAAGAATGCATTTCATTATTCACATTCATGTATGTTAATTAACATCTAATTTTAGTTAACTGAAAATAAAATAAATAATTTAATATTCGTTGTCACGTATATATTTCTTGACAATTAATTAACATTCACGTACATTCAAATATTACTTTTATAACATTAATTTGGTTGCATGTTCAACGTTGACTAGATTCTTTAAAAATTTAAAAAAAAAAATACACTCGTTTAATTATTTTATTTTTACCTTTACATTTAATTAACCCATATTTTTACGCTTACTTGTACTTTCTCAGAGTTCAACTTTTGTGCCTCCGATTGCACAATTTGTTGTCAATCCTCAATAATTTCAGTGAAACTCAAATGGTAAAGGAGGTTTGAACTCGAAACTTTTTGCCTGAACTTCTCAAATCCATCCAAATAGGGGATGGCAATGGATTGTGTTGGCTTACAACCAAGAGCTTGGCTTGTCCAAGCAGTTAGCCAAGCTCAGGCTCGTTTGGCAATGGGCTGATATTCCTCTTGGTTAAAAGATTTATTTGCTTGGATTTTTGTTGGTAGGTAGTGTCTTGACTGTTCACTGGTATAATCCACGAACGATACAATTTTTAATTTTACTAAAAAATCTACTTATGAACTAGTAAATTTCTTTAGTTTGTTGTTTTTATATAATTATTGAAGCTCAAAAATTGCTTTCATATTTTTGTTATTTTTTATTGGCAGGCAAAGTTTTGCAATGACCACTGTATTTTTGTGTTGAAATGTGGCAAATTGTAAACAGTCTTTTTTAAACGCATTTTAATTGTATTAAGAGTCCCTGACTTTAATTGTTTAACACTTATGTTTCCAATTTTTTCATTGCATCTTATTTTTGAGAAAAATTCATGTCTAAGAGTTTTAACTATGTCTCTATGACCCATTCCAAAACTAAGAAACAAATTTTAAAACTTCAAAAATCAAATATTATTAAATTTTATTTATAAAATAATTAATTAAAAACATTTTATTAATTGAATATAGCAAGTTCGTAAATCTATTTAATTTGGTCACAAATTATCGAATTAATTTGTTACAAATTATTTTTTGGGCACAAATTAAAATTTTTATAGGTGATAAATTATTTTCGATCACAAATAAAAAAATTTATAGGTCACAATTTATTTATAAATCACAAAATCAAAATTTTATAAGTTACAACTCATTTATCGATCACAAATCACAAATTTTATGGATTGCAACTTATTTAATGGTCACAAATTATTAAATTAATTGATCATGTTATAAATTTAGTCACAATCACAATTTCTTCAACTTTACATATTATTTACTGATTACAAATTAACAATTTATTAATCACCCCACCTACCCAACTCCACTGGCCACCATCTCGTCGCCAACACCACCACCACTACTAGCTCCACCACCCACAATAACCACCCAAATCCCCAACACCACCAAAACGTTGAAACAACGACTACCGGTCCAACAACCAAAAAACACCACCACCACCAGCATCACAACTACCTTCACTATTGCACCACCATCACTCCATTACCACCACCACTATCGCACCACCATCTGCAAAGCCATATCCACTCACACGTGACACCCAACAAATCAGAAGCTCGCCTCTGTTTGCTCAAATCTCGTCGAACCACCACCTTGTGCCTTTAATGAAAACCTCCGTCGATTACCCCATTCCACTGCCAATATTCTTCACTTTTCGTCAACTACTCCTTCACAGATATGTCCATCTTCGTCCTCTTCAACAAATCTCACAAATCTGTCATGTCACCGAAGCGTCATATCTTACTATGATTTAGTACCACAATGACTCTTCAGTACTACGGCGGCTAGTAAGATACTACGTAGACGTGCACCGCATCTATTGTGCATGACGGCACTCATCACCACTCCTTACGATATCTGCTTGTTGTGACACTCCTTTTGGTATCTGCTCCTCGCGAATCAAAAATGCCTTCCTCATCATTAATATGTTTGCTCACAGCAATTGTCAACTTCCTTTGTAGTACCCTACCCTCAGGAATTCGAATCCCCGCTGCCTCAGAGAGAGTAGAAGTGCTTTCCTTCACGTTAAGCACGAACTTCTGATTTCAGACTGCGTTCAAAATCATCGTTGCTCCGTGCAAAACTCCTGTGCGCACTGCGAACAATGCTCCTGTACCGAGTAGTATAGCCGACGCATAGTGACAGCGCTGATGTTCAGAGAACAAGTGGCAGAAACAACCAGTGTTGAATTAGGCCTCATGTTAGAGGGAGAAAGTAGATATTTATTTAATAAATGACAAATATTTAATTATAATCTGAATTATGAAAGATAACACTTAAAAATCTTATTTATGAAATGCAAACTTGAAAAACAATTCTAGCTGTAGTTTTTATTTTAACACTTATGTTTCCTATTTTTTCAATACATTATCATCATCAATCTTCAATTATTTATCACATATTGTTTCTAATAAATGTTTTATCCAAAATTTTGTTAGTATATTTTAGAATAAAAAAAAAATTGCAGTTAAAAATAAGTCTTATTATCTTCTTTAAAAATGGACAAAATTTGCTAATTAATGATATATTGATAATAAATATGCCAGTGAAAAAAATAGAGAACATAAATACAACAATAAATAAATATTAGAAACTTTAATGCAGTTAAAATCTAGCGCACTTACAATGTAGTGCACTTACAGGTTGCAATGCCAGTATGAATATAGCCACCCCGTCTAAAATAGGATATGCAAACATAAATTTGTAAAATATAGTATATAAATTGTAAATACACCCTATATTATTCCCAAAAGAATAATATTTACAACACAAATGCACCTTTTGTAAGTTCAACGGGGAAAAACATAATTGCATCTCTCATCCCCAAAGTTTGTTTAAAGTTTGGCCATACAATTTTTAACTAAAGACTGACTGAAAACCCCAGACGCAGGCTAATATGTTTTAGGTATATGTCATTCTCAGAATCACTTCAACTTACACAACATTAAACTTCTGTTTAAGTTGTAACATTACCAAGACAAATCAATGCAATGCATAAACAAGCACAACTATCCCAAAATTCTTGCAGAAATATGGGCTGGCAAAAACTCAAGATGGCTGGCTTTCCGAAACGGCTGGAACCGGTTGTCTGGTAACTGCAGCCAAGATATCAGCATAACCTACGACACCAACTAATATGTCATCGTTTTCAGCCTCTGTAACCCAAACATGTGTTGCCCGGTGAGATAATATTTGAGCCATTACTGCAGCCAGCGAACTAGTAACTTTACACGTTAATGGTGCACTTCTACCCCGATACATGCTCCTACCAACCCCAAAACTTGAATTTGCGGCATTGCTAAAGAACCCAATACTTCTGCTGCTGAATTTTTTTTGCCTGGCTGGGATTCCTCCATTACCTAAATTCGATTCCCCGACCATTTGATTAAGCGCAATATCAGGAAGTGATCTTGATGTCAGGTTATCTTCAACCCCCATAACAAACTGTCCAGCAGAGAGATTAGCAAGTGCCCATGATGCAGCTAAGTAATCACATTTCCATAGTTTAGAGGCAGATATTTCACCGATGATGTTATATTGACCATCTGACGTTGGCTCCACAACAGCAACTGCACATGGATCATGGGGACGATTTTTGGTGGCATCAATGGCTGGGAAAGATGCTTCAATAGAGCAGTAGTTTGGATTGATGATTCCAAGGGAAGCAATTGAGGAAAGTGGTAAAGGAGCCAAGGCACCAAGGCAACCAATGATGAAACGTAGAACATCTTCTCTTGACAGACAACAAAACTTGTCCTGAATGATGTCGGTGGAAGATGATGACGATGGAAGGTTAGTGTTGGCAATAGGGTTTGTGTTATTGCCACTAGAAGTGTCGATGTTCTTGAGCCATTTTCCATTGTATAGAACTGAGAAGCGCTTGCTCATGCCTCTCCAGACTATGCTTTTGGGAATAAGGAGTCGCTTCACACCTTGCTTCATCATCTCCAGAGCATCTATCAATCTTATACAAGAAACAAATATCAGAATTATAAGTACTATTAAGGAACACTAAAGCGAGAATGTAACAAATGCTAATTGGGTCCCACATAAGCTTTAACACATGGAACAACAAAGGAATCCCATTTTTTTTTTTTTTTTTTAAATTGAAGTAGTAAATATCAGGAGTTCACAATGCAATTAAAATTTTCAGCATGTGCATAAACAGAGATAGCCTTAAAAATCTCAGGCTGCCCATAGCAAGAGAAGGAAGGTAGTGATTGGCAAAATTTTTTACTTTATAAAAATGAAGATAACGGTGTTGAAAAGGAAAGGTAAAATAAATGTCATTCAAGAGAACAGTTCACATGTAAAAGGACAGAGGAGAAACAGATTAATGTTTGAAAGATCATTAGGCCTGAAAACTATAAAGCTTTCCAAAGGATTATTCCGACTTCTTAAAGTTAATTGGGTACTTAAGTTCTATATTACAGATTCTTATACATACTGGTTGCAGTGCTACAGACTGATATGTACAGTTATACAAAACAATGGGCACTTAAAGACACTCCCCATCCCCGTCTCCAGTTAAAAAGATACTTTCTTTTATGTGTCTGTGATTGTAAGGACACTTGCTAGCCTGGAAGGAAAGGGATAAGAGAGTCAGTTAACTTCTTGAGGCTTAAAGCCTTGTTTCTTCATTTTCAAAGATGGGTGAGAGAGAATTAGAAAGGTTGATGGAAGAGCATCATAGACATAATAACATTAAAATAAGACTTCCAAAAAGATCAAAACCTTCATTTCAAAATCTTAACATCTGCAAACTATGGTAAAATATACAAATATTTAGAAGAAAATGGAATGGCTGTGAATCAAGCAATTTTACTAATGACGCACAAGCACCTTCTCTTGCAAATGTTCCTAACATGTAGAATGCCCGTGTATTCATAATTTTCCCTTCTCTAGATATTATTCAAGTAAAAAGAGAGAGATAAGCAGCCACCTCTCCTGCCAATGTAGCCATCTTGTTAGAGGCAATATTTCCCTGAAGAAATGTATATAATTTCCGAACTTTTATTTCTAAAGACTAGTTCTTTGTAGGGAACAGGGAATAAGTACAAGAAGTTCAATATAGTAAGTTCAGTTAGTCAGTGCTATTACTACCCTAACATTGTGACAGCGAATACGATCAATAATAAGAGTGGAATATGACATATTAAAGAAATATAAAAAAGTTGAATGAAATACTTAGAATAGCACTGCAACAGCTTCTTTACAGAAGATGGCAAGCTCTTTATGTATGTTTTCTGTTCTTTCAGTAATCAATATATATCATTTTTGAAATCCTTATTGCACCTTCCCAACAATTACCTTTTAACAGATCCTTCACCATGTATGATCTATTTGTTTAAATAAAATAACAGAACGGGGTAAAGAAAGAAATTGTAATAAAATCTGAATAGATATAGAAAGAATCTATGAGAATTTCTCCCTTGTCCCAACCCCGCACCCTTACCCCAACACACACATTCTCTGAATATAAAAATAAATAAATAAATAAAATTAGTATGTGCAATTTTACTCCCTAGCCAAAACCATCAAACTCAAATCAACTATATTTCTAGCACTCACGCAACACCTTTTCTGAGAGAGAAAGAACATGTACAAAATTAACAAAATGGAAAGGGAAAAAAAGGAAAAGAAAAGAAAATGCTTAAAACACTTGCAAGGGACCCTCATCAGTCAATAAAGAAAACTCTAGACAAGTAGGTTACAGAAGATCAACACAATTTCAAGAAGGCTCTCTCTAATTCTTTTATAATCAGGGCCAATTCAATTTCAATCAGTAGAAGTGTACGCCTCATAAAGGTTCTTCCTGAGGTGCACTGCTGGAAGGGATATTTTTAAACCATGGAAGGTGCACAATGCACATACACTTCTTGGGTTTCTGGAGCATCCTATATTTCGTTGGACATGATTGTTGGTAAAGTCAAGAACCTTAGTTTTACAAAAGGTCTTATAACCTTATGAGTCTTCATTGATTTTCCAGATAAAAGTTATGCTTTCCAAATAGAAGTTAACAGAGTGAATGATAGTACCCCAGAGATTTTCCACTTCCTAAATAATAACTAGTTACTTCATTGAGGTAACAAATACAGGAACCAAGTAAGATTTTGCCACCAATGGTACAATGTCAAAACTGATTGCTTCTATAATTGTATATACAGTCCAAATTTATTTTTATAATATTTCATGTAAATTTCTGTAAATTTTGAAAATAAAATTCACTTGTCAAGTCCAGCCATGTCTAAGTATATATAACACTCAATATATACTTATAGAGTCATGTTTTTGCAATTACTAATGTCCCTCGCACTTCACCGTTTCAACATTTGGATACTTCTACTTAGTTGTGTGCAGTCCAAATGACCAAAACAATAAAGAAAATGAGAAGCCTAACAAGTGAATGAGACAAGAATCTTATTGTGTGTGGGAGAGACAAAAAGCGACACTTATACATAAAGAAAATGAGAGAAAAGGAATAAAATCACCTTTTGCCAACTTCTAGAAGAATGTCTGCTACAAAAAACATCGAATTCTCTTAAAATAATAGCTTATGAATTGGCATTTAAAGTTCAACTAATTCACCCCTATTTTCGTCATCTGGTAAGAGATAGCTACTAATTTTGCAAGTATAGCAAGTCATAAGTACATCTTTATAATATATAATGGCATTTTCACAATTGATCAAGATAAGGTTCCATATCCCTGTTTATAAGCAAATGCATTATATCCTATTGCAGTATTATAACTACTTCTCATACTCTAGACTTAACTTAGAACCTTGAAAATAAGATGGTAAAGAGTGAAGGTTCTGAAAAACTCCATTTTCCTCGGTTAGTTAATAAGGAGAAAATAACAGTGAAGTTAATGAGCATTTATATGGAGTTGTCAAATTCTACACCTCTACGTCATTTGCAATCATTATTTTTTCTATGGAGATTGTGTCATTCATTCTTGTTAATCTGAAAACATTCGACAAGAGTTTTGAACTTAATCGTATTGGAATTTCTCCCATTGGTCCTTTGACACCTCTAAATCCAAGTTTCAAAGAGAACTGAAGTCAGGTTATGTGAAATTTTCATGCATAATACCAAGAATCACAAATGAAAAATCATACAACTTATTCACAAATCCCAAAACATTCGAAGTTTCAAGCTACTGGCAAGAAACTGAGAAGGTAGCACAGGTTAAAGTAAGAGAGCGAACCTTGTGCCAGGATCAACCGCCTTTAGCGCAGAATTGTTGTGAATTACAACCTCGGAAACTGGTGTCTTGATGGCCTTAGCCTGATCGGCCACACACTCCTCTCTGGCCAAGAATGCCACAATATCAAGGGAATTCAAGATGCCCACAAATCTCTGCTGCCTCATTTCTGCATTCTCAATCACACTCTTCTGTGATCTCTTGTTCCACACTGGAATTCCTCCCTCCGAGGATTCTCCTATGGCCCGAATGGCGGCCTCCACTGTTTCTGTCTCTGCAAACTCAACCAGCTCAGGTTTTCCCACCGTCAGATCCCCCACCACATGGTACAAAAACACTGATGCCATTTCTTGTAATTTTCCACACTAATATCGGTAGTATGGGTCCTCGTTGTTTCAAGTTGATTCTGAGAGAATATTGGTTTCTCTGAATTATCTGGAACAGATTGTATGTCTTGCTGTGCAGTGATAGAATTTATTATGAGGAACAACTGGCTGGACCCCTTAATGAACAATTGCTTGCTTTATATTATGAGCAAGTGAGCGATCTGTAAAAGATCCAATCTTGAACTCAATTAAGAGATGGCAAAAGGCTAAGACGATAACAGAGAATGAAGAAAGACGAGAAAAAGGCGAGAACGAGGAATGGGCAATAATCTGACGTTAACAACAATACTAATAGAAATGGAGTGAAAACTTGAAAGAGAAGAAGTAGGCACCATACACGAATACTACTTACTATATTTAGAATAACTAAGATGGCATAATATTCGCTCTTTTGGGTGGGTTGCACGGTGAAGCCCGCCCCTGGAAACGCTATCCGCAGATGACAATCAGATTTGACTTTTTCTTGTATACGCTCTTTTGGGGTGGATGTAGATGAATCTTGATTCTTGAAGAACGAAGGGATGAGACAGGATAAATAATTGATCAAACAGTAGCTTTTTGGCTTTATATTCCTATACTTTATATTTGACACTCGAACTTGTAGCGATCTTCGCATGTGATTTATTATGTTGAACTCTCTGTAATTTTTTCCTAACATCATCTTGACATGAATTTGCCGATGAATTGAAGTTTTTAACTTTTAATATGTTTAATTTTTAAAATTTAGTTAGCATTAAATTCTACCTTGTCTATAAATATCTCAGCAATTTTATGGATTGGGACATGTGATGGGAAATGAAGAATTAAATATGTTCATATGTAGAAAGGTGATGTTTCCCCACGTCAAGTCAAAAGTTGGAACTAAAGCCTAAATCGGCATGCTTGAAAGTACTTTTTCTTTTTTGCCGATTTTAATCTATCTTGGATGACATTATTTATGAGAGATTAAAAAAATTGATGCTTGTTAGATTCTTTAGACACCGATTTTGAATGACTTAAAAACCACCCAAAGTTAATGTAGCATATTTTTAATTTGATTTTTTGACCCTTTTTTCATATTTTCTTTTCATTTTACCATTTATAAAATAATTATTTTCAACCAACATATTTTGTACAAAACTAACTTATAAATAAAGATATATTAACTAAGAACGTTATTTATAAGCAAAAAGTTACATTATAATTGAAAAATCACTTTTGTGTAAAAAATTGTTTATAAAGTAAAAATACTACTAATAAGAAAAAAATTAATTTATAAAATATAAAATGTTACTTATAATTAAAAAATTCACTTATGCGTAAAAATTATTTAAAAGCACAAAATTAACTTATAATTATTGAATTTACTTATAAGTAATAAAATACTGATTTAAAATTTTAAGTAAATATTTATCTTTATTTTAACTTTTTTAAGTTAAATATTAACTTATATTTAAAAAAAAAAAAGGATTATTACCAGAAAACTTCACTAAAAACGTTTTCATGTACGTTATACCCTCATACCTATTAGAAATCGCAAAATACCCCCCCTACTTGAAAACTTTTGTATGACAAGAAATCCTACCGTCAAGATCATTCAGAATTACCTTTTTTTTTTTAAAAAAAAGGCCAATATTAAAGAGGTATAATTACAATTTTAGTATCCAAACTTTTTATTTTTTATTTTTTATTTTTTTTAATCATATGTGCCAACTACAATCCCAAATTTTTAAAACTTTATTTTTCACCCCACCCCCAATTCATCTTCTTCCCCAGAGATTATAGAAACCTTGATATTATTATTGACAGCAAAGAATAACCATCCAAGGATGATGATCCTCTATATTCCTTGATGACTTAGCCTTATGACCTACACATTGCTGCACTGTGCTCCACAAATTTCAGTAATAGCTTCCCACAAAACCTCTGCATATTTAGACAGCACGTAACCATCGGTAAAAGCTGCCCTCATTAACAAACTAGTCCCTTGAGGAAGATTCACTGTCAAATTCAGAAAATTGTCATCCCAAAAGGACCATCATTCTTTGACTTATATTCTCGACCCGAAGAATTCTCTTCGCGAAATTGCAGGCAACTCAACCTGATTGAGAAATGCCTTGAACTTAGGGTGTTGAAGACTTGAAATTGAGAGAGGAAATTAACTATACTTTGTTCCAATTCTAGTCAAGGAAAAGAAAATTAATGGGGTTTCTAGGGTAAAGATCGCATTCTTGGAGCAGGTACCTTACCTATGGAACCGTACATGTAGCGGCAAAGGTTGATCCTCATCTTTCAGTTTCTACCGCCGATGTGAAGTCCGTCGGAGTGATCACAGGGAAACGCATTTGATCGACTGCTCGGAGTGATGCAGAATTGTTTCTACGGATTGGATTTGGTAATCCAATACTCAAAAATATTTCCGACGCTGCGAAAGATATTTTGAACAAATGCTTGGCCAAGAAACACGAACAGAGATGGAAGCCGACGTGCTATTGAGTCAGCTCCACCTAAGCTTTATCTTTTCAGATGTTCAGTGGCGGTTCTCGACTGGTTAGACACATTAAAAAATTGGATTTAATCTGTTAAAAAATAAATTATAATTATTCATTTTTAATTTTGACATTCTTTACTGTTTAACAACAGATCTTATGAATCTTGATAGCTCTGGGTTTTTTCGCTCAAAAGGTTTCAAACAAGGGATTTTCTGAGATTTTCAATAGGTAGATAATATATGACACATGAAAACTTTTTTAGGAGGGTGTTGGGAGTCGAACTGTTGATCACTTTGATTTAAATTATGCTTCCACAATTTTAACTAAAAGCGTGTTTTGTAAAGTGACACTTTACTAATGGAAGGAGTTAATTGGATTGTGACACGTGCTGATCTCTTGGCCGTTGGATTTGATTCTAGATCATTCTATGTATTTAACCCTAAATGGTTTGGGTGGCTGTTGGTTTTTCATTCTACTCCATTCGGCTTCTCGAGTTCGAGGGTTTTTTAGTCGCCTCTCTTTCTCTCTCGATGAATCTCTCATTTTGGCTCTATTCTTGAGTGATTTTCAGAACTCTTTCTTGAGTTAATCCATAATATATTATAGATCTCTAACATGGTGAACTGCTGTGTTGAGTTTATGGAAACCTAAGTGGTTTCATGTGATGTGCAGTCGGGTTTGATGAAATCTTGGTGATTTCTTGTGTTTCCTGTGTGAAATAGCTTACACATTGTTTAATGACTTGTGAAGTCATGTGATTCTTGGATGGCAGTTCCTGTGACTTATGTGTCTGAGTGATCTGTTCGTGGTTTCTTCGTGAACCGTGGTCTACCTTGGTGAATCTCTATGAGATAAGTCTTTGTGACTTGTATATTGTAATATTCTGAAACATTGTATACTTACGGCCTGATTTTGAGGGCTTTATAGTGCAATCGAGCTGAATCCATTGATAGTGGATGCTCAACAGGGGATTAGGCACTTGTGCTTAACCTTTGAGGCTTCAGCCGAAAAAATCATCGTGTTCATTATTTTTGTACTTTTATTTTCTGCATTTCTTGGTTCGGTTTCTATGAATGTTGGTTAATTTTGAGTGTCTCGACATTTCAGAGGGTTTTCTGCTATTAATCCAAAAAATTACCTCTAAATAAAATTTCACTTGTGAGCAAAAAAATTTCTTCCCAAAAATTATAAATTGAAATTTTCACTAAGAAACATATATGTAAATTTATTCTTTTATAAAGTTTCAAAACCGGTAGATAATAACTTATTTAAAAAATCACTACTATAAGTACTCAAAATCGATCAACTCATAAACGATTAAAATTGATACCTTAAAAATGTTTATAACCGGTCCCCCAAAACTCCCAAGCAAACCCTTAGAAATCATCTCTATTTTCACTTTGTCCCTCAAGTTTCCGCTCAATATGCAGAAACAAAAATAAATATCGAAAGCGGAAACAAATGAACTGATGCAAGAACTAAATCCCAGCCAAAGAAATAAAAGTGGGATTATATCTCATCAATCAATGGTACATCAGTTTATCATTTCTGTTAGTTGCAACTATACCTAAAAATGCTACTGTGCATCATTTTTGATTCTTACAAAACACAAGGAGAGTGAGTTCCTCTAATCAAGTAGGCATCACAACTAGTTCTATTTCAACTCGTTTCACGTTGACAATGCTATCCAACAAGGCCCCATATGACCCGAGTATAAAGCAAAGCCTGAAGGAAGAATAATCGGACGGAACAAAACTGGGGAAAGGGGGATGTCGGTGGACTGTATTGCCGGGCCATTGAACACTTCATCAAACTTGAACCTATTCCTCACTCCAATTCACGGGGGAAAATCTATCACGTCTCAATTGTCATAAAATATGACTTGAAATATGAAGAAATTGGTATTCAAGAACCCATATTCTGTGTGTTGCCTCAATTTGGTAATATCTAATTGGTCCATCCAAGCTCCCAGATGCAAACTGAAAGTATCCAATCATGTGGTAAGCAAAAAGCAATGCGGTCAATCAAACATCTACAATTTGTGCAAATGCAAGCGTGTGGGTTGGTGTACATAGAAACGGTGAAGTTAAAACAAGAGTGGGGTTATCATGTTACGTACTCAATGTCATTTTAATGTTTCTGAAATTCTTATGCACATAATATTCAATGAAACTGCACACTGGATTCCCGTGGGAGGATTCAAACAATAATGGAAAGAAAATTGTTAGATTTCATGAGGAGAATAATAAAATTTTATCTGCCGAACAATTGGATTTGTTGATGAGGAGAATTCATCAGTCATCCCTTGCCAAACGACCTTTCCTCCATGGAGAAATAAAAGCCTACATATGGTGTTAATTTTGGAGGAGAAGAGTGTTGAAATTTTATATCTAAAATTGGTCATTTTACATAATTATCTAAGTGGCATTCTTAATTTGGTGAATGAGAAATTAAGTCAAATGTAAACTGCTTAAATACTGAAAATTATTGGAAAAATCGTATAGAATATTGTGAAATATTTTAGAAATATATGGAGGAAAAAATGTGGTTTTTCGCATGAAAGATCATGACTCTTGGTATGAGTATGATTAATGTCCAATAATTATGAATTTCAAGATATGTGTCTCTTGGTATAGTTGTGTCTTTTGACATACATTTCCAACTACTATATATATAGACCCTATGTGTTTGAATTTTATTCATTCAAGAAAAGTCATAGATACCATATCATTTCATTCCAATTTACATTTTGGTTTTGCATAAAACATTTGCATCAAAGTCATGATCATGGTAGAGAGGAAATTCCGTTCGAGTTCGCTAGTCGAAGTCATTTGGAGTGCTCCTATGGCTCGACGTGGTCGTTGTATCTTGGGAGATGATTGCCGAAAAACCGTTAGCACCGATGTGGGGCAAATTTATCTAAAGGACAAAGTGTCCAACACTTACCTCAGCCAAAAATTCATCACTTGCATCTTCATCCTCATTTTCTGATTTCCTTTTATTATGATTTGATTTCAGAAAATGATTAATCTAATTTATATATTTATATTGCAAGGTTCAATCGTTCAAGAATTGAAAGATTCATATTCTTCGGAATAGGTTCAATCGTTCAAGAATCGAAAGGGAAGGTTCCACATTCATACTCTTCAAAATCAGTAAATTCTCATTTTGCCTTATTAAATTCAATTTCAGTAAGTTGGAATACGTTTCTATTTCATGCAAATAAACGATATGTTTATTGTGAATATAATATGCACAATTATCGATGTAATTTTCCAACAATCTTAAGATGAATTTGTGTTGTTGTACATAAAATATTCTGTTAGAAATTGAAATATATATATATATATATATATATATATATATATATATATATATATATATAT